ATGTACCAACACACCACAAAATTAATCCAAAAAATAATTTCAAAGTTATTCACAAAATTCTCAAAATGGTTAAGTAATTATTTGCTATTTATAACTGGGAAAAACCACAATAAAAGATAAAAAATACATTTTATTGACGTTTTCAATTTCCACTTCGGAAAATCGTTCTCCAAAATACACATAGTAATTAAAAAATTTTGTTTTTTGTTACATAGTGAAAAAATTCCTTCTGATGATTTAAATTTTATCTGACTCATTTATATTGACAATCAGACATACATTATGCATTTAAAGTAGACGACTTTAAAATGATATTGCCAATCTTGTTGAGTTGCGCTCCTGGGGGACGACTTTACTATAAGATAGTTCATTCGATTACAGAAATCAACTTTAACTTGAGAATTCCGTCAGGAAAAAATTCATAGCATGGTTAATTCGTCTTAAAAAGACAAAAATGAATTGATGACAGTAAAAATTCTCTGTTAGTGATTCCATAGTAAATTATGAGGGGGAAAAATCTGGAAAAAAACCTCATAATACTATCCAACATTGTAAAGTATTTGTTCGTGAAATTTAGTTTACCTTCAACCAAACATTCAAAATCTGATTTTATGTAACGTTATTTAATTAACATAAATGATGTATCCTCTATATGTTACTGATTTACTATTACTGGTATTTTTTATTAATTAACTTCTATTTCTATATTGGTAAACCAGATCCTAAAAATACATTCAATGATTGAAAGAGAAGTTATTAATATGAAAAATACCGTAGTAGTAAGACAGTTAACAATATAGAAGGTACATCATTTATGTTTTTAAAATAACGTTACATAAAATCAGAATTTTGATGTTTGTTGAAGGTAAACTAAATTCACGAACAAATACTTACAATGTCGGGATAGTATTATGAGGTTTTTTTCCTGGTTTTTTTCCTGGTTTTTCCCTCATAATTTACTATGGAATCACTAACAGGAGAATTTTACTGTCATCATGTCATGTGTTTGTCTTTTTAAAGACGAATTACATGCTATGATTTTTTCTGACGGATATTCTCAAGTTAAAGTTGATTTCATGTAATCGAATGAACTATCTTATAAGTAAAGTCGTCCCAGGAGCGCAACTCAACAATATTGGCAATATCATTTTAAAGTCGTCTACTTTAAAATGCATAATGTATGTCTGAATTGTCAATATAAATGAGTCAGATAAAATTAAATTATCAGAAGAATTTTTTCACTATGTAACAAAAAACAAAATTTGTTTAATTTACTATTTGTATTTTGAGAACGATTTCCGAAGTGGAAATTGAAACGTCAATAAATGTATTTTTATCTTTAATTGTGGCTTATCCCCAGTTATAAATAGCAATTAATTTACAATGCCACAAGAAAATAGCTTCAGAACAATATGGTTAAGTAAGTTAAGTAAATATAAACACAATCCTTGAAGCAACACACAATGGTTTCAACAAGTATATGGTTAACAAATACTTGAATATAAAAAATTCACCAATATTGGCTAATATATATATATATATATATGTATAAAAAATAGTAATGTCTAAATTATTAAATTCTTAAAGTTCAATAATAGTAGAATAGATAGTTAACTGTACACAAAGAGATTAAATGGTGAGGGTTTAAATATGAATATAAGTAAACTACAGCAATACAAGTATATCTATAAATGTAACTCTAATAAGGAAAAACAATAAATAAATAAAGGAGTTAAAAACAATATGAACAAAGAGCAACTGGAACAAATTAGAAATAATAAAGAATATTTGCAAAGAGAAATATTCTAAGAACGTACGGTCTGAACTGCGCAAAGGCACCACGTTGGGTAACGCCAATGTAACAAAAATGGATGGGCTGGAGCGCCAATATAGCAAGAATGTGTAGTGTAGCAATAGGGTAAACTTTAAAATGTACCTTGATACACCAACGAACTAATATGTGGACTAACAGAAGATGAAAGGGATTAGATAGAAGTAAATTATGCGAAAGAAATAAATAAAGGATAAATATGAATTTTTTTAAAAAATAATAAAATTAATGCTGGCTAGCGACTATGCAGGAGAATGACCACTTGACAATCAAAGAGGGATTCGGCCAATTTGCATGCCCTACAGAGACCGTAAGATGTAAGAATTAATGACTAGAAACTACCAAGAAATAAACAGAAGAAAGATAAAGTTGCTCTACCGAATGTTTGGGCGCCAGGAAGTTGAATGTTTTCTTCCAAGATATCTTGTATTGCTGAAATATTAAAGGATAGGTACCAAGTGAAATCTTAAATTGTTTTAACCCAACTTTAATAAAGACCTATATTATGTACAAATTATTTTAAACCCCTATATATAACAATATTACCCAACACCTCTTATATACAATTAACTAATCTATATTTACAATGAAAACCCCTGAATGCAATGATAAAACAGTTTCCCCTTTCCCAAATGTACCTATTTATGTGAAATGTTGACTAAGGTTATGCAATAGTTATATAAATATAATATAAAATGAAATATATAATAATATAAATGTTACAATTATCGAATAAATGAAATAAGACCTCTCCGGATATGTGTGCACACTATAACCTGATAACGAGAGAGTCCAGGGGAGTTACAATCTCAACCCTTGGTGGACAATAAATAATTAAATTACGTTACAATGATTAATATTTTATGAAAAAGTGAAGGTAATTATTATTAATGATATATATTGAAATTAAAATGAAACAAAAGTTAAACCTTGAAGAGGATGTAGAACGTTATTAAAAATATTCGAATAGGAAAATAAAAAAAAATTAAAAATCAGTTCTTCCTGCCGGTTTCTGTAGGTTTCCCTGGAGATGATCCGGTGGAGAACTAGTCGCAGGTGGGTGATACGCCAAACCTGGACACCATATAAAAAAAGAGGTACTTTTAACTTAAGTCCTTGAAATTCTTCTTAACCCAACTTAAAAAACTTTTTCTTCCCCTTGTTCCAATAAATATTCCCCAATAAACAAACTGAAAAGGTTTTTCTGCCCTGACTTGTCACTGGATCCCGGAAGTAGGCGGCTGAGGTGGTCCAAAACTTAAGTATTTCCCAAAAACAAAAGTAACAAAAAGGCTTCCTTCCAAAATAACTGCTTCTTCGTAAAAAAAAAAATAAACTTAACCCAGATTCATGAAAATGGCACCTCGAGCCGCACTACTTGGTCACAGCGAAGTTCGCTCGACGAAATTCCAGCAACAAGTAACGATCTGCCGGTACTTCGGCGGCTGTCACGGTGATGTATTTTCAGAATCTTAGACAGAGGGCGGGATTTAATGCCAACTTTCGAAAATAAAATTTACTGGAGTTATTTAAATTTTTGGTTTAAGAATATTTCAAAGATGAATTTAATTTATAATTAAATTAAAAGATTCCAGTGACAAAGCAGTAAATGGGTATTTAAGTAACGGACTCGTTACAAAGACCGACGAAAGCAGTGACCAGTATATTCTGTCGGATTTACCAAGTTTAAATAAGTAGCAATTATTTTGGGCATTTTTCTAAATTAATGAATTCCTACCACTTGTCTACAACCCTTTCCGCTTTGATATTTAAAGAAAAATCGGTCACTGTTCATATTTTCTGGTCTTAACGAAACATACTTTCGATAAACATTCAAGTAGATCTGATTAATTACAAATGATCTTGGTTTGTTGGTTTTCGAATCAGGTATGCTGATTAAAAGCTTAAATTCTAAGTCTTCTATATCGTGTACAGTCATTCGGACTAACTCTTCCATTCTACAGGCCCCAGAAATACCAAATATTACAGCCACCTAAAAAATAAATAAAGCTATAATCTAAATAGAAATTAAAACCTTGTAAATTACCTTAATCATTAAATTTTCTTTATCTGGAGCTTCCTGGATAAATTTTTCAATTTCTTCCTTCGTTAAAATCTTAGATTTCTTTGCCCTATAACCTTGAGCTTGCTGTTTCAATAAAGAACGAAGTTTTGAGTATGCAGATATATCTACAATGTGTTTAAGTGCAAGGGTTGACTTCAGCATTGAATAATTGGCCCATAATGTTGAAGATTTCATCTTTAAACAAAGGTCTAGAAGTATGCCATTACAACATTTTCTGAGAAAAAACTCGTATTTTTACTCATGCTTTCTTACTTTTCTCTTGATTTCTTTGGCAATAATTCTAATGAAGCAGTATTCACTGCCTCAACCAGCTCTGGAGGAGTCCCAGGAATGGAAATTTCATCATCACTTATCATTTTACTTTCGAGAACACCAGCAATTAAATTTATAAGCGTCAAGTTTGACGATTCAACCTCAATACGTTTCCATAGTAACCCAAGTAATTTTATTAGGAATTTCAAAGCACCATTTATTTGGGAATAAAATTATAGATTGGGAATAGAATTATAGAATTTTAAACGATTTGCGGAAAAATAGTATGTTTACCTCGTAGGAAAAGCCACATTCCTGGACTCTGTGTTGCTAAGTCTCGGCTTGCGCCTCGACTTAGCAATCTTCACAGTCGTCCAGGAATGTTAAGCTTTTCCTACCCGGTAAACAATGTACTATTCCTTAGTAATAGGAAGAAGATCTACGGGACCTTTGATGTGTGTAGCAATATCGTTAATAATAAAATGTGCGTCATATCCGGAGAGATTATGGAATATTATTGGAATTGTATGAGCATCTTTGTAATTAATGTTACACCCTTCGTGAGCTGCGCCGCGATAATTATTGCCAGGAATAAAGTAATCATGGTCTCGAACTTTCTTATCTTCAGGAGAGAAGCGTTGCTCGCAGATATGACAATGAGTGGCTGCATGAAAATCACTCTCTTGCTGAGTTGTCATATTTATATCATATGGACACAAAAACACCGTAGAAACATCCTCAGCAAGCTGATTAAGTTCATCTGCAAACCACCGCATACAATCTTTTCCTCTATACGATTTGTAAAAAGAGAGCGCATTATCATATGAGCATTTAAAGAAGTACCCAACTGCTACAGGAATATGTTCTTTGAGGTTTTTTAGGATCTCCTGTACGTTTCAAAGCACTCTCGAGATCTGCGTACACGGCGAAGGGAGCTTTAATCTTATTCCGGAAATTCTTAAATTTTAACATTTTGTTGCTTTCCTCGGGCATTTTAATGGCTGTTTCGTTAATTCTTACGCAATCCTTGGTGTAAGCTTCTAGCTGAACAGCCGATGAAAATGGTTGTAAACACCTATCACAGATATAATCTGATTGGCCTTTGCAGCATGCCTTATGAACATTTAATTTTTCATCTGTTCTAAAATAGTGAAGACAAGCATCACAGAAATGATTATTTTTGCTAAGCTGCTTAGAAAGGAGGCGGGATAGGCTTTTTATCCAAACGTAATGGTATCTAATAGGACCTTCTACATCATCATATCTATCTTGAACAAGAAGCAGATTCACATGTTTATCCTTCTTGTTTTTAGTTAAATAAGTTGGGAGGGTTGTGAAAATCCTTTTTTCTTTTTTCAAAATATAAACGTTTACAGAAATACCATTTTGTTTTTCAAAATTAGGAATCTGCCTCATCATCATTGGCCACTGTATTCCCTTCAACTTCAGCACATGCGAGTAGTGCGGATATTTTTACACTCTTTGAGGATCTTTATCAACAGGATTCAACGCTGATATGACAGACCACGCAAAGCATGCCTCATCATCATTTTTGACGTTAACGCATGCTTTCTTTCTCTTTATTTGAGGAGGAAGTTCGATGTATGAGGAACCAAGTTGCGGCGTATATTTGTTTATATTTACCCCCAGGTTAACAACTGCCTTTAGTGCCCAACCACTATCTCTCTCTTGGAATTACTTAAGCTTTTTGCTGAGGGGTTCAGATATATCGCTGGTTTGCGAGAATATAGGCGGAACTAAAAATGAGTGATTTTAGAGAATGGCACTTTTTAATTTCTTTGTAAATATTTTAGTGCATATTGCAAAATGTAAATGATTTATCGATGAGTCGAGTTTACTAACTAAAGGTAAATCTTTCGTAGTATCAAAAACAAAAACTTTTTAGAACTTTTATTAAAATCATAATATGAAAATTCGTCATACAAAGGGGCGGTTCAGACATCAGTCTTTATTCATGAGACTCCAACGTATAAAAATCAACTAATGTCATTTATTAATTTTTGTAAAGCCTCTTAAAAATACAAATGAAAACTTAAAACAGTGTTTAAAACTTCAGTACTTGTTCAGTATAACAAATAAAAACAGTTTTATAACAACTAAAAACAGTTTTATAACTGTCACCTCGGGGTAAATGGAAAGGGTCTAAATCACCTTCTGTACCCCCGTGTGCTCTGTAAAGACCTCTACCCAAGTCCACTTTCAGGTTATGGACTTGTGAAAGTTGTCTTCTGATGGTGACTTGCCTTGAAAAAGGCAAGTTATTTCTTATATGAACAATATTAAGTTAAAATAAAGTCGAAATAAAACACCAAATTGTAGTAGAATAAAATACTCAGCCACAGAGTATGGAAAGCTAAAAAGGAAGCAGAGCCCCGAGAGCACTAAGCTCTCGGAGAGCCCGTGAAGGACTGAACTGATTGACCTGAAAATCGCCTATTTTTATACTTTCCGAAGTAGCGATTAGGGATTTCCAGGTCAGGGAGGGGCCAACAGGAAAAATAAGGGGCGGGGCGATGCGTCTCGAACGTGAACTAGTCGCGTCCGAGAACATAACATACAGTAGTAACTATATATTTAGGTATTAAAAACAAAACTAAATCTACTAGTCCTCTCTTCTTATTTTCTGAGATTCCGTTTCTTTTTTTATAAGCAGATTGCAATCTGTAATTTTCGTCCAACGATTTTGATGCACGGCTAGTAACTTTCACACACTTAAATTCATTTTCACCGTAAGATGTTTTATAGAAGAAGAATCCTTTGTGGTCAGCATCTACTTTTAAAATCTTTATATCTGCCATTTTCACACTCTCATTATCAGTATTTTTATTAAAATTTCTACCCACGTCAGAAGCTAAAGACTTTAATTCGTAAAAACTTGTATGATCCATTTCTATGACTTTGTAAGGAGATCCGTTCTTTTTTGCATTGCGAATAATTGAAATATATTGATCCGGTGTAAAGATAGGTCCTGATTTCAAAGTCTTTTTAATGATTTTTTCGATAACAGAATGCACACTGTCACCTTCATTTTGCGTATGCCCTTTTATCAAAAATTTATGGGTGATACTATTAATATGAGCAAAAGTAGAAACAGCGTACATGTACATACTGATAATAAATTTATTCTTTTGCTGTCCACGGCAGTTATCTGAGTAAAAAATTATATCTTGTTTGGCTTCAGTTGTTAGATCCCTGCCAAGACTTTTTAAATATTCTAAAACAGAGGTCCCTACTTCTATAGCTCCTCTATTTGCCTCTCCTTCATGCCATACGTAGCAGAACGCATTTTTATTTTTCATCTCATAGATCGTAAAGTTAAAGGTATTTACTTTTGAAACATAGTAAAAATTAGACACCTCTCCCCTAGGACATGGCATTACAGCCTGTAGATCGTAGACTGCTACAATAGTTGATTCTTTATCTTCTGCTTCTTTCTTGTCCTTATCCTTTTCTATTCTTGAGAGCTCTTTTTCTTTTAGATGGTTCTCATATTTAGACTTCAGTCGATCTTTATCTTCTCCAATTGCGTTATTGTAAGCCACACAATCCTCGCACTGATCCTTCTTAGGTTGGTAAAATGCTATATTAAATTCTCCATTAAATATTCTATTAAACATGATATAATTAGCACTTTTTTCTCTTTTTTCTTCACACTGTTTCACATAATCTCTATAAATTTCTGCAATAGTCTTACTTCCGTCAATATATTCTTTCCGCGTATCTGCTCGACAGTAGTGACTTTCTATTTTTGGTATCGCCTTAATAAAATTTCTCAAACTATCTTTAATATTATTATCTACGCGACTGTGATTTTCATGTTTCCCTCGCAAATCTTCCACTATAATGCCTGAAACGTCACTTCTTGATTTTTCGGTAACTGTTCGAATAAATCTATCAGATACATCCAGCGTCGACATGAAAAAACTCTTACAAACTCGAATTTTTCCGCCGTATTTATCTTTTAAATAAAATGCGTTATTATTTCGACGGGTTCCTTTTTTATATTGATACGTCGGGACAATAGAGGATATATTAAATGCGACAAAAGTTCTTTTACTTTGCAAGTCTCATCATCAAACTTTGCGTTACACTTTAACTTGCATTTTTCTGTACATCCTGATCCTAATCGTCTCTCTCGTATAACTTTATTATTTTTGCCTACATATTCTTTTCCTGCATTTCGTAGACGTTTTGCTACATTCGTTTTCCAAAGTTCTGGCTGCATTTTTCTCTTACGTGTAATATTTTGGTTTGGTTCATGTAAAATATTATTTTCTTCATTCTGTTCAACTGTTTCATCCGAATCCGACAACTTGTCATTTTTAATGTGATAATTAGGATCTGCGATGCTATCATCCGATGAAAAATCCCATTCTTCCATTCCTTCTTCACATTTAGCATTTATATTGGCCAATTCAATAGCTTTTGGCTTACTTTCTATTTGTAAACTACTTTTTACTGCAATCTCATCTTTCATATTATCGTTTACCGACTCTACACTTGTATTTTCTATTACAACCTTGGAGTTCTTTTTCATTTACACTTAACATGTTATTGGATTCTGTATTACATTCTTCTATTTCTCTATTGCTGGAGGAAGATGAGCTAGAAGTCCAGAAAGAAGAGCTAGAAGTAGAGGAATTTGAACTAGAAGATGAGGATGACGATATGGACGATGTGGATGGTGATCTTTGTCGCAAAATAAAATTATTTTCTTCTGAATTATTACCTGAAATTAAATAACATTTATTTATTTATAGAATAAATACCAAAAGCATCAGTTATCGTAATTGCATGCATTTTGCTGGTTAGAACAAGCCAATATGTAATAGAAACACACACATTTTTGTAATTCCCAGGAATCGAACCCAGGATACGCTCAGCCACTAGCGTGAGTGTTTGCTTAAGAGGAAGAACTATACATAAGAATAACATCGAAAAAAAATTTCGACTGAGAGAATTCAAATATTTAAGTATGCTTACCCAATGTGTTTTTATAATCCATATCATTTTCGATATTTTCATCGCAACTTCTTGCATTTAACGGCAAATTGCTTTTATTTTTATTGGTACCTAAAATATTTTGAATGGTTAAATATTTGTAAGAATAACTAAAATTGAGATAAACTGCAATTATGCGAAAATTGTAGGCTGACCTTCTTGTTCACTATTCGTTAAATCATGTTAATCCTTTTTTTTTTATTTTTACTGGCCGCTTCTTTCAACTTTTCCAAGAATAAAATTCTTTCTGCCATCTTGAATAGCTCTAAAGTAGGTAATTATCTGAAACAAATAATTTAATGTTAATGATTAATCATCAATGAATATCATGTAAAAAATTAACTCAATATTTCTATCCCAAAATTCCTTGAACACAGATGCATTTCGTAATAAGAAGCAAAACCATGCCCATATTATTCAAAAACAATGACATTTCTTATTTACGACAGAATAAAATCTGCTTATTTTTCGTGAATCTAGACTCAAGTTACATAAAGTCAGTATAAAATACAATAAATAATAAGCATTCATCAATATTTATTCAAGAATACAGGCGTAAATAGAAATAAGGTATAAAAAGATACTTACTTTGAACAAAAACAACGACGGATCACTAAATGTGTCACTATTCTTGAACAAAATTAAACAATTGTTGCAACCGAATTGTAAATACGTCGGTATTTTCGAAACTCGACCGTGCGTTCATTCCGTTGTCACAGGCTGAACTGAGATGCGCCTTTGTTTGTGATTACACTTCGAGTGTTTTGTCTCAAATGAATAATGACGCTGTCTCTTTTTAACGACCGCTGGCGCGAAATTGGCATTGCTTCTCTGTTCACGATAAAATATCATAGATTTATGCTTGTTTGGCATATAGAACTCAATTTGACCGAATTTTTAATTACGCCGATATTCTCGAAATATATATATATATATATATATATATTATATATATATATATATATATATATATATATATATATATATAGAACAATTTAAACTATAAATACATTTAATGCCCAAAGCCCAAAGGTATTTAATTCATGCCTTACAATTATTTACGCCATACAAAGATGTCGGACATTAATATTTTTGCAGGAGATATGTCGACTTTAGTTGATGATGACTACATATGGATATGTATCATATATAAATCAAATCACAAGACATCACAGTAAAACGTGCCTTGATCATATTTATTGAAAATGCACAAGACAGTAAACATAAACTTAGTTCTAACATTTTTAACTACGAAATAACTGATCATAGTCTCATTGCATTAATATTAGAAAATTTCAACTCTTCAGTTAGTACCACAAATAAACAAAAGAACACAATGTTCAAAATATATACTGATTACATACAGTTAAAGCTAAATTGAAAAGGCGAAAATTGGATTTCTCTTTATAATTCCACAAACATACATTATACAACTGAGGGGTTTATCAATATGCTACAACGAAATATTGAAATAACCACTAAGGAAGTACAAATTCGAAAAAAAAAATCAAAAAATAAAAAGCCTTGGATCAATTTAGAATTATTAAAAGCTATTAAGGAAAAAATAATATAATAATAATCTAAGAAATAATAATATATATAAAATAATAATAATCTAAGAAACACCCCAATGACATGAATATTAGTAATGAATATAAATTTTCTCAGCAGATTATTAACAAAAGCGAAAAAGAAATATTTTAATGACTTAATTGATAAAAATACTTGTACTTGAATGGCTTTTTCAGCATTTGTCAAAGAATTGTGTGGTGGAACAGTAGTTAAAACAGAAATTGAGCAGATAAAGAGAGATAATAATTTAATAACAGATCATGGAAAAATTGCAGATCTATTTAATAATTATTTCAGCGACTTGCGAAATTATGTTGAAGAGATTGAGTATGGAAAAGTAGCATATATTTATTTCCAACGAATTAAAAAAACTATACATACACTAAAAAATAAAAAATCGTCAGGTATAGATACCTTCAGATCAGAAATGTTAAAAGAAGTTGCAGAACAAATTGCTAAACCATTGACTTATATAATCAATAACTGTTTCAGATTAGGTATATTTCCCAATTTATTAAAAACAGGTATCATTAAACCGCTTTTTAAAGGTGAAGATCGTAGTGAACTTGGAAACTATAGACCAATAAGCTTGACTTCGAATCTCAGTAAAGCAATCGAAAAAATTATAAAATCTCGTCTAAATAAATTTTTAAACAAACATAATATATTATCTGAAAGTCAATATGGCTTTAAAGAGGGACGGTCTACAGAAAAAGCAATTGGTAAAAAATATTTACAATTCTTTAGATAATAAAGCTTCTTTATGTATATTTGTAGATCTCGCTAAAGCATTTGATACTGTAAACCACAAAATACTGTTACATAAAGTAAAAATTTACGGCCTCAGAGGTGTGGCCTTGGAGAGAAGGTTTCTTCAAAGATTTTTTTAACACTATCTAGCACTGGACGGATTTTACGGAGGTAATCATCTTTATCCAAATTGGTGTTATCTACAAAATGAAGGGCACCTAGTGTCAGCAAAAATTTATTCCGAGAATAAACTTGATTAAAAAATGGGGTAGAAATTATAGGATTTGTTGACCAGTAATCTGACAGACGTGGTTTCTCAACAATACCCACCAAAATACACAGTGCCAAAAAAGAATACATTTCCTGTGGACTGAGATGGTGCCATTTAGAATAACTTGCCCTTTTGGTTTGCAAAACATGTGCATATGCATTTGTCTGTTCGGTGATCAGAGTTATAATATTTTCATCAAAAAATATAGTGAAAAAATCTACGTCAGCGCTTGTATGATGCAAAGATAAATTAGGATTTATACCTGAGTTGTTGCGGTCAAAATCCATTACATTTGGCACAAAATTATCAAAAACCCATGAGTCTGTTGAATCACTTTTTTGGGAATGTTTTCCTCTTGAAGATGGGTTTGGATTTTTGCTGGGTGTTGCAATCTCATCAACAACTGATGTAAAGTCTATATCATCTTCCTTTTCACTTGAATAATTTACTATATATCCAGATTCATCTTAGTTTGAGAAATGGTTTGCATTATCCGACGAATCATATTCACTTTCACTATCTTCAAGGCATTTTCTTAGTTCATCCTCCGTCAAAAAGCGTTTTTTATTCATGATATAAACAAACTGCCAACCACCGAAAAACGATTCAACCACTTCAATACCAAGAATGTAAACTACTGAGTGACCGTCAGACCGTCTCGATCGCGAAGTGCAAAATTTTCCCGGCGCCGTATATGAGCAGCGCGCAACCGGTACTTGGCCCGTAGCGAAAGGGTTAAAGGTTAAATATGAAACTGCTTTGCTTGCTGGCAGTGGCTCTTGAAAATGTAAATTTTTAAATCTTGGATCTAGTAATGTTACAGCAATTGCATGATTATATTCTATTTTGCTAAACCTCTTTTGGAGTTCAGTTTTAAATTTTGACTTTGGGTTATTTGATAGTGGCAAATCTAAATTAATCATATCAAGCTGATTTGAAGGACATGCCAACATTGGAATGATCTTCGATATTGTAATATACTCTTCTTCAGAGGCTTCTCTCGTAATATACTCTAAAGGTCTGTGAAGACAAATAACTTCTTTAACTTGTAATATTTCTACAGCTGTTAACATCGCTGGTGCATGGGGTTTACTTAATAATATTTCACTAACTAAAGAAGTTCCACAAACCTCTCGAGCATATAAAACACAGAATTCCACCTAGGGCTAATGTCTAAAATTAATTTTTTTAAGGGGACAGTCTCATGCGATTAAAAAAAAGACGCATTTTAAAATTAAAGCAGAAAAAACTATAATATTTATTAACATAATTCCTTTTGGAGATGATTAAGTAATTCTTGAAGTACATAAAAAAAAATTTAATAGCGATTTTAACTTCATTGGTGTCCTGTAGATGGCGTGTAGTAAAAAGTGCGTTTTTGGTGGTAAACACTTTGTGGGTCACCTGTAACAGATCTTCAAAAAATTCAAAATGGGTTGTATTCGTGAGACTCAAAACTAGATGATAAACCTTTAAAATATGCAAATTGTATTATTTTGAAGAGTTTATTCGAATTTTTTCAAAAAAGTCGAAAAATCACTATATTTTTCGGTGGATTTACCCATATATAATAAAAGGGAGGGTGGTTTTTAAATATTTTAAAGGTTTATCATCTAGTACTTTCTATATATATTCGAAAAAATTTTGGTTTTTTAAAATCGGTTAACCCGGCATTACACGCGCCAAAAACTTACAACACGCGCACGGTAAAATAGACCGTAGACATAGTTTTGGTTTTAATTAATAAAAAAAAACAAGTAGAATCTAAATATATACCAAAAATCTTTTATTTTAAACTTACGTTACAATTTTTCATTTATTGTTGGCTTTTATAGCATTCAGTACAAACCTGGGAAGTATGTTCTCGGCATATATACTTTTGACACTATACGCATAGGGTCTTCGTTTTTCTGTTCTTTTTCGATGAGCAAAAATGACATCTGCCTGGAACGTCATACTGGCTATGTGGCGTAGATACCTCCTGGATGCCCAACATTTCTTTTATACGACTTCTCATAGTTACTGGTAACATAACCATTTCTCGACGACGTTCAAGTTGCGGTGTAATGAGACTCATTGCTAATGATTTCAAAAAGTTTCGGCAAGTTCTATGAGTATTGTTATTTTTATCAGCAACGATATGGCTATTTATTCCAGATATATTCAAGGAAGTAAAAAATAATGTTAGAGGCCATCGGCAACTTTTTCGTGACACAGAGTAAGTTCCTTTTAGCTCATCAACGGTATCAACACCTCCCTTTGTTGCATTGTAAAATGTAATCATTGATGGCTTGTATGCATCGCCACTTTCTGGATCAATCTCGTCTTTGTAATGCATTGTTGACAATAATGTAACTATTTTGTTTTGCTTGGGCTTGTAGGATACCAATGTCATGTCTTGGGTGAAACCAAAAATGCTCGAAGTAACTTTACGCTCCTTTAACTTTGCAGTAAAAATTTCAGGAATTTCTTTTTTATT